ATTCTTTTATTTTATTATGTTTTATTTTTATTATTTTATTATTTCCCTTCTACGTGACTTTACCGAACGAACCAAGAAGAAGATGAATATCTCTTTGGTTCTTTACCGAAAGAACCAAAGAGTAATCCCTGCAGTCACGAGAGCTCCGAATTAAGAATATGTATATATCGTTGAGGTATTCTGGCTCAGACGCACCGACAATTCACATCTGTATTGGACATTTCAACTGCAAAACTGTTTTTCAAAACGACCTCTGCTCTTGTTTGCAGGCAACAAAACGCAACGAAGATTCGCTGCAGTTATTATATTATTTTAATTTATTATATTATAATATTATTATTTCAATATATTATATTATTTTATTATATTGTTTTATTACATTATTATATTATATTATTATATTATTTTAAATTATTCTAATTTATTATATTAATATATCATTATTTTATTATATTATTACCATATTATTTATTATTTACTTTAATTTATAATATTATATTATTTTATTATGTTTTATTTTTATTATTTTATTATTCCCTTCTACGTGACTTTACCGAACGAACCAAGACTATGTATATCTCTTTGGTTCTTTACCAAAAGAACCAAAGAGTAATCCCTGCAGTCACGAGAGCTCCGAATTAAGAATATGTATATATCGTTGAGGTATTCTGGCTCAGACGCACCGACAATTCACATCTGTATTGGACATTTCAACTGCAAAACTGTTTTTCAAAACGACCTCTGCTCTTGTTTCCAGGCAACAAAACGCAACGAAGATTCGCTGCAGTTCAGAGTTCACGAGTTGGAATCGAAGAACAGAAACCGACAGTAAGTTGTTCCCGCCTATTTTTAAATCCTTTATATTAAGTTCGCTTGCTTGCTTGCTTGCGTGCTTGCTTAGGACCGTGTAAAATTTTCGGTCGTTTTTTAACCCACTTCCTGTGATCCAATCGAGCTGACATTTTGCACACAGACTCGTTGTGCCAGACAATTAATGTTCGTGAAAATTTTTTTCCAAAATGTTACACTGTTTAGGGAAAACAAATTAAATATTTAATTACCAATTGCTTAATACTGGCAGACAATCATCTGACCCATAGGTGGCAGCCATCTCAAGCCAGAGGACGAGAGGACTCTAGCCGCCACGCATATAAAGGATTTAGAGTGAAAAACTTTGTTTTTACGGGTTATACTTATTTTTTTGTTTGCTTTTCAATTCACAACATATTCCTTTTGTGGATGACGTACGTCAGAGGTCGCAAACGGGTTTTGATTCCTTACCCGTACCCGGCCGCACCAGTGTCGCAAATGGCTACCCGTACCCGACCAGGTACGGGTAGCCGTTCCCTACCCGTACCCTACCCAAAATGAGTGACAAACGGTGACTCACCAGTGACTCACGGCCTACCCGTACCCGTACCCTACCCGAAATGAGTGACAAACGGTGACTCACCGGTGACTCACGGCCTACCCGTACCCGTACCCGGGTATCGGGTAGGGTACGGGTATCGGGTACCCGGTTGCGACCTCTGACGTACGTTTGTTACAAACACAACTCCCATCTCTGTGAACGAAGACTCTGGCACTTGTGCTCGAGGTGTGAGGTCTTTATTTCACGGCATGGGTCCACACCTTCATCCTCGCTGTCTTATGGTTGCGATTGTTCGACTTGCATCCCACTGGGAGCCTTGCACACAGCGTTGATGAGATACGGTGCTTTTTCCAGGACGACTTTGCCGTTTTTTTCCCGGAGTTTTCTGTTTGCGCGTAGTCACTTTACCCGGCCGGGTAGCCGGGTATCGGGTAGGGTACGGGTATCGGGTATCGGGTATCGGGTAGGGTACGGGTATCGGGTATCGGGTAGGGTACGGGTATCGGGTACCCGGTTGCGTTGGGAAATGAGTGACAAACGGTGACTCACCAGTGACTCACGGCCTACCCGTACCCGGCCGCACCAGGGTCGCAAACGGGTACCCGTACCCGGCCGTACCCGTACCCGTACCCTACCTGGCCGGGTACGGGTAGGGTACGGGTATCGGGTACCCGACTGCGACCTCTGGGTATGAAGCCACGTTGCAGGCGCGGGTGGGTTGATTCTAGGAACTTGAATTGTAAGAAGAGACAAGACGTTGGGAAATGAGTGACAAACGGTGACTCACCAGTGACTCACGGCCTACCCGTACCCGGCCGCACCAAGGTCGCAAACGACTACCCGTACCCAGCCGGGTACGGGTAGTCGGGTACGGGTAGGGTACGGGTATCGGGTAGGGTACGGGTATCGGGTAGGGTACGGGTATTGGGTATCGGGTAGGGTACGGGTATCGGGTAGGGTACGGGTATCGGGTATCGGGTAGGGTACGGGTATCAGGTAGGGTACGGGTATCGGGTAGGGTACGGGTATCGGGTATCGGGTAGGGTACGGGTATCGGGTAGGGTACGGGTATCGGGTATCGGGTAGGGTACGGTATCGGGTAGGGTACGGGTATCGGGTAGGGGTACGGGTATCGGGTAGGGTACGGGTATCGGGATAGGGTAGGGTATCGGGTAGGGTATGAGGTCAATCGGGTAGTCGGGTACGGGTATCGGGTAGGGTACGGGTATCGGTATCGGTAGGGTACGGGTATCGGGTAGGTACGGGTATCGGGTAGGGTACGGGTATCGGGTAGGGTACGGGTATCGGGTAGGGTACGGGTATCGGTATCGGTAGGGTAAGGGTATCGGGTAGGGTACGGGTATCGGTATCAGGTAGGGTAGCGAGGTTATCGTGGTAGGGTAACGGGTATCGGGTAGGGTACGGGTATCGGGTAGGGTACCGGGTATCGGGTAGGGTAACGGGTATCGGGTAGGGTACGGGTATCGGTAGGGTACGGGTATCGGGTATCGGGTAGGTACGGGTATCGTGTAGGGTACGGGTATCGGGTATTCAGGTAGGGTACGGGTATCGGGTAGGGTACGGGTATCGGGTAGGGTACGGGTATCGGGTAGGTACGGGTATCGGGTAGGGTACGGGTATCGGGTACCCGACTGCGACCTCTGGCGCTGGTCTAACCGTCCCACCTGACGCTCACCCGACCCTGTTGCTCTCTTTTACACATTTTGAATGTTCCCCGTTCCCTAAGCAGTCGGAGCGCGGAGTGACGGCGCTGCCTTCTTGACTACTCTGTCCCAGGGACCGTGTGGGACTGTCACCGCACACCTGTCACGCGTTTCTCTTTCAATCCAGGGACGAGTTGGAATCTGTCAAAGCTCATCACCAGGCACAGCTCGGAGCCTACGTACAGACATGCACAAACTTGGTAATACAAAACGCAAAACAGTATGTTTAGTATGCTGATGATAATATGTAGTTTATACTTTAGTTGCTTACGTGGTGGTTTTAGTTGCCGCAGCTACATACTATTAACACTCCTTTCTCTTTATTAATGCTACCCCTATCCCCTCCCTTTGATGCTGCTAATCCTGCATAACGCACGGGCATAAGTAGTACTAATCACATACCTGCATTTCCCATATCCCCTCCCTTGATGCTGCTAATCCTGCATAATGCACGGACACAAGTATTACTAATCACATACCTGCATTTCCCATATCCCCTCCCTTTGATGCTGCTAATCCTGCATAATGCACGGGCATAAGTAGTACTAATCACATACCTGCATTTCCCATATCCCCTTCCTTGATGCTGCTAATCCTGCATAATGCACGGGCATAAGTAGTACTAATCACATACCTGCATTTCCCATATCCCCTCCCTTTGATGCTGCTAATCCTGCATAACGCACGGGCATGAGTAGTACTAATCACATACCTGCATTTCCCATATCCCCTCCCTTTGATGCTGCTAATCCTGCATAATGCACGGGCACAAGTAGTACTAATCACATACCTGCATTTCCCATATCCCCTCCCTTGATGCTGCTAATCCTGCATAATGCACGGGCATAAGTAGTACTAATCACATACCTGCATTTCCCATATCCCCTCCCTTTGATGCTGCTAATCCTGCATAATGCACGGGCATGAGTAGTACTAATCACATACCTGCATTTCCCATATCCCCTCCCTTTGATGCTGCTAATCCTGCATAATGCACGGGCATAAGTAGTACTAATCACATACCTGCATTTCCCATATCCCCTCCCTTTGATGCTGCTAATCCTGCATAATGCACGGGCACAAGTAGTACTAATCACACACCTGCATTTCCCATATCCCCTCCCTGTGATGCTGCTAATCCTGCATAACGCACGGGCATAAGTAGTACTAATCACATACCTGCATTTCCCATATCCCCTCCCTTTGATGCTGCTAATCCTGCATAATGCACGGACACAAGTAGTACTAATCACACACCTGCATTTCCCATATCCCCTCCCTTGATGCTGCTAATCCTGCATAATGCACGGGCATAAGTAGTACTAATCACATACCTGCATTTCCCATATCCCCTCCCTTTGATGCTGCTAATCCTGCATAATGCACGGGCATAAGTAGTACTAATCACATACCTGCATTTCCCATATCCCCTTCCTTGATGCTGCTAATCCTGCATAATGCACGGGCATAAGTAGTACTAATCACATACCTGCATTTCCCATATCCCCTCCCTTTGATGCTGCTAATCCTGCATAATGCACGGGCATAAGTAGTACTAATCACATACCTGCATTTCCCATAAATATGCTAAATTCCTCTTGATATGCAAATTCTATTGTCAAGGCGCTCCCTTCCCCCCCCCCCTTCCAACCCAGCTTATAAACATGCTCCAAGCTCGTGTGCTGTTTCATTCAGACGCTGTCGCCTCGACAGACCTGGTTTTCACCTGAGGACGGCTGCTTGTGTTGCTTCCGAAACGTCGTGAATTTTAAATTTTGTTTTATTTTACTTTCATTTTACTTTCATTTTACTTTCATTAATTAAAAATTGTCTTACCTACGTGACTTTACCGAAAAAACCGAAGGTCACTGACCAGCACGTCCGTTGCGCGTGAACTGCGACAGGTTCGCGAGCTGGGCAAGCGACGGGAGGCACTCTGCGAGAAGGTCGGCTGCTATGAAAACAAGGTGAGTGCCAAGCCGTTTCAATGGCAGTGCTTCTCTAATCACACTGGTCAATGGCAGTGCCTCTCTAATCACACTGGTCAATGGCAGTGCCTCTCTAACTACACTGGCCAATGGCAGTGCCTCTCTAACTACACTGGTCAATGGCAATGCTTCTCTAATCACACTGGTCAATGGCAGTGCTTCTCTAATCACACTGGTCAATGGCAGTGCTTCTCTAATCACACTGGTCAATGGCAGTGCTTCTCTAATCACACTGGTCAATGGCAGTGCCTCTCTAATCACACTGGTCAATGGCAGTGCATCTCTAACTACACTGGCCAATGGCAGTGCCTCTCTAACTACACTGGTCAATGGCAGTGCTTCTCTAATCACACTGGTCAATGGCAGTGCTTCTCTAATCACACTGGTCAATGGCAGTGCCTCTCTAATCACACTGGTCAATGGCAGTGCATCTCTAACTACACTGGCCAATGGCAGTGCCTCTCTAACTACACTGGCCAATGGCAGTGCGTCTCTAACTACACTGGTCAATGGCAGTGTCTCTCTAACTACACTGGCCAATGGCAGTGTCTCTCTAATGACACTGGTCAATGGCAGTGCCTCTCTAACTACACTGGTCAATGGCAGTGTCTCTCTAATGACACTGGTCAATGGCAATGCATCTCTAATCACACTGGTCAATGGCAGTGCCTCTCTAATTACACTGGTCAACACACTTTGTCTGGCGTAAGGTATTCCAACGGTTCTACATTTGAAGCTTTCGTGACTGCAATGATTCATATTCTTAGGTTTTTTCGGTAAAGTCACTGTGTAGGTAAAAACACATTAAAAAGCTTGTGTTGCCTCCGAAACGTCGTGATTTTATTTTACTTTTTAATGTTTTTTACCTACGTGACTTTACCGAAAAAACCTACGAATATGTATTCCAACGGTGTGAAGGTAATTTTGTGGAGCTGCTGATTCCGGCATAGGTTGTCGTCTATCACGTCAGGTTTGTGAGATATCAAATGTCGCATTTTCGCTAAAAACTGCGGAAGAAAAATATTAAATAAATGTGGATATGAATTTCGATGTAAAGCTTCTTTCGTGACTGCAGGGATTCATCTTCTTGGTTCTTTCGGTAAAGTCACGTAGAAGGGAAGTAATAAAATAATAAAAATAAAACATTTAATAATTCTCACGACGTTTCGGCCACAACGCAAGCAGCCGTCCTCAGGTGAAGAGCAGGTCTGTCGGGGAGACAGCGTCTGAATGAAACAGCACACGCGCTTGGAGCATATATATATATGTAGTACTAATCACATTCCTGCATTCCCATAAATATGCTGAATTCCTCTTGATATGCAAATTATTTTGTCGAAGCGCCCTTTCCCCCCCTCCCAACGCAGCTTAAATAGACGCTCCAAACTCGTGTGCTGTTTCATTCAGACGCTGTCTCCCCGACAGACCTGGTCTTCACCTGAGGACGGCTGCTTGCGTTGTGGCCGAAACGTCGTGAGAATAATTGTATTATGTTTTATTTTTATTATTTTATTATTTCCCTTCTACGTGACTTTACCGAAACAACCAAGAAGATGAATCCCTGCAGTCACGAAAAAAGCTTTAAATCGGAAGCACACACACAGTTTCACACAGCATACACACAGTTTCACACAGCATACACACAGTTTCACACAGCACACACACACAGCACACACACAGTTTCACACAGCACACACACAGTTTCACACAGCATACACACAGTTTCACACAGCACACACACACAGCACACACACAGTTTCACACAGCACACACACACAGCACACACACAGTTTCACACAGCACACACACAGTTTCAGACGCTGTCTCCCCGACAGACCTGTTCTTCACCTGAGGATGGCTGCTTGCGTTGTGGCCGAAACGTCGTGAGAATTATTTTATTATGTTTTATTTTTATTATTTTATTTTTTCCCTTCTACGTGACGACTTTACCGAAAGAACCAAGAAAATGTGGATATCTAGATAAAATATATTATAAACACACTAGCCTAAAAATACAGCACCGTATTTTAACACTAAAGCAGTCACTGACTCGCAACAGAGTTAATTTCGGGTAAAACCGAAGCAGTCTTTATCGTGACTGCAATGTTCGTCGTGCCCGTGCTTGCTTGACGTTGCAGTACAAGGATTTGGGGTCTGAAGTCGACTCGCTAAAGCAACAGGGCGAACAAGCACGCAGCCACGAGAGCGCCGAGTTAGAGGACTACATGGAGCAGATCAGACACCTGGAGGAGGTTTGCGAAACGAACTTGACCGATGTTGTTTACAAAGGCTCAGCCTTTGTTATGCAGTCTACTCTTAGTCTCAAGCCTCACCTTACCATATTAATAACAAGTATAACCCGTAAAAACAAAGTTTTTCACTATAAATCCTTTATATGCGTGGCGGCTAGAGTCCTCTCGTCCTCTGGCTTGAGATGGCTGCCACCTATGGGTCAGATGATTGTCTGCCAGTATTAAGCAATTGGTAATTAAATATTTAATTTGTTTTCCTAAAAAGTGTAAAATTTTGGGAAAATTTTTTTCCACGAACATTTATTGTCTCGCACAACGAGTCTGTGTGCAAAATGTCAGCTCGATTGGATCACGGGAAGTGGGTTAAAAAACGACCGAAAGATTTGCACGGTCCTAAGCAAGCAAGCAAGCACGCAAGCAAGCACGCAATCAAGCAAGCGAACTTAATATAAAGGATTTAAAAAGTATGCGGCCCTTACCCCACCACCTTCTCCAACCATTTTATAAACGGAGTGGTAGCTCTTGCAATCTCTCATCTACTTGATGCGGCTGTCGTGGCTGTGACGGTACCGCCTGAAGACGGAGGCTTGTGTTGCCTCCGAAACGTCGTGATTTTTATTTTATTTTTTAATGTTTTTTAATGTTTTTACCTACGTGACTATACCGAAAAAACCTGAGAATATGGATCATTTCAGTCACGAAAGCTTCAAATCTAGATGGGTTTCTGTGTGAGTCTGTGGGTTTCTGTGTGAGTCTATGGGTTTCTGTGTGAGTCTGTGAATTTCTGTGTGAGTCTATGGGTCTCTGTGTGAGTCTATGGGTCTCTGTGTGAGTCTATGGGTTTCTGTGTGAGTCTATGGGTTTCTGTGTGAGTCTATGGGTTTCTGTGTGAGTCTATGGGTTTCTGTGTGAGTCTATGGGTTTCTGTGTGAGTCTATGGGTTTCTGTGTGAGTCTGTGAATTTCTGTGTGAGTCTATGGGTCTCTGTGTGAGTCTATGGGTCTCTGTGTGAGTCTATGGGTTTTTGTGTGAGTCTATGGGTTTCTGTGTGAGTCTATGGGTTTCTGTGTGAGTCTATGGGTTTCTGTGTGAGTCTATGGGTTTCTGTGTGAGTCTATGGGTCTCTGTGTGAGTCTATGGGTCTCTGTGTGAGTCTATGGATTTCTGTGTGAGTCTATGGGTTTCTGTGCAAGTCTATGGGTCTCTGTGCGAGTCTGTGGGTTTCTGTGTGAGTCTATGGGTCTCTGTGTGAGTCTGTGGGTTTCTGTGTGAGTCTATGGGTCTCTGTGCGAGTCTATGGATTTCTGTGTGCGTCTATGGGTCTCTGTGTGAGTCTGTGGGTTTCTGTGTGAGTATATGGATCTCTGTGTGAGTCTGTGGGTTTCTGTGCGAGTCTATGGATTTCTGTGTGAGTCTGTGGGTTTCTGTGCGAGTCTATGGATTTCTGTGTGAGTCTATGGGTCTCTGTGTGAGTCTGTGGGTTTCTGTGTGAGTCTATGGGTTTCTGTGTGAGTCTGTGAGTTTCTGTGTGAGTCTATGGGTTTCTGTGTGAGTCTATGGGTCTCTGTGTGAGTCTGTGGGTTTCTATGTGAGTCTATGGGTTTCTGTGTGAGTCTATGGGTTTCTGTGTGAGTCTATGGGTTTCTGTGTGAGTCTGTGGGTTTCTGTGTGAGTCTGTGGATTTCTGTGTGAGTCTATGGGTTTCTGTGTGAGTCTATGGGTTTCTGGGTGAGTCTATGGGTTTCTGTGTGAGTCTGTGGGTTTCTGTGTGAGTCTGTGGGTTTCTGTGTGAGTCTATGGGTTTCTGTGTGAGTCTGTGGGTTTCTGTGTGAGTCTATGGGTTCCTGTGTGAGTCTGTGGATCTCTGTGTGAGTCTGTGGATCTCTGTGTGAGTCTGTGGGTTTCTGTGTGAGTCTGTGGGTTTCTGTGTGAGTCTATGGGTTTCTGTGTGAGTCTATGGGTTTCTGTGTGAGTCTATGGGTTCCTGTGTGAGTCTGTGGATCTCTGTGTGAGTCTATGGGTTTCTGTGTGAGTCTATGGGTTTCTTACCCTTCTATCTGGCAACAAAACTGACACCTTTTTTACAAGGAGTCATGTTTGCATTGACCACAATACCTGCAGTCATAATGCAAACAAAAAACAGAACTCTGATAATGTGTGCACTGTCCTTGAAGTTGACTGGTCCACACCCGAGACAGCTTTCCTTAGAGCCTAGTCTCACATGGTCCTTGAAGTTGATTGGTCCACACCCGAGACAGCTTTCCTTAGAGCCTAGTCTCACATGGTCCTTGAAGTTGATTGGTCCACACCCGAGACAGCTTTCCTTAGAGCCTAGTCTCACATGGTCCTTGAAGTTGATTGGTCCACACCCGAGACAGCTTTCCTTAGAGCCTAGTCTCACATGGTCCTTGAAGTTGATTGGTCCACACCCGAGACAGCTTTCCTTAGAGCCTAGTCTCACATGGTCCTTGAAGATGATTGGTCCACACCCGAGACAGCTTTCCTTAGAGCCTAGTCTCACATGGTCCTTGAAATTGATTGGTCCACACCCGAGACAGCTTTCCTTAGAGCCTAGTCTCACATGGTCCTTGAAGTTGATTGGTCCACACCCGAGACAGCTTTCCTTAGAGCCTAGTCTCACATGGTCCTTGAAGATGATTGGTCCACACCCGAGACAGCTTTCCTTAGAGCCTAGTCTCACATGGTCCTTGAAATTGATTGGTCCACACCCGAGACAGCTTTCCTTAGAGCCTAGTCTCACATGGTCCTTGAAGTTGATTGGTCCACACCCGAGACAGCTTTCCTTAGAGCCTAGTCTCACATGGTCCTTGAAATTGATTGGTCCACACCCGAGACAGCTTTCCTTAGAGCCCAGTCTCACATGGTGTTGGACCAGATGACGCCAGATAAAAGGGTAAAAAACCAATTATCATATTTTGCTACTGGCAAAGAGAGGTTCCAAAGGATCCCTCGTATAAAGGTGTCAGTTTTGTTGCCACATAAAAGGGTAAAGACCTATTAGTATAACGACGAGGGTTATTGCGTGTTATTGCGTGCGCGTGCTAAACCGTGAGTTATAAAAGTACGCTAGAGTCTAATTGTGCTGTGGCAGATGTTACGTTTTTATACGTGGAGCGTTAACTTGCATCACCGTTATTAAAAAAAAGGCAGCAAAAGATTTTTCTTTCTTGGCACTAGCAATGAATTTCTTAACCGAGTGAAACTCCGAGGCACGTTGTGTGTGTGTGTGTGTGACCGTTGTTTTCCCCCCCTTCGTCCAGGCACAATCCCGCAGGATTGCAGCCGAGATTGAGAACGTGAAAAGCGGTGTAGAGCGAGCGACACAGCTGAAGATCACAGAAATGAGTGCATTGGTGGAAGAGTACAAGGTGCCTTGCGGAAGTTGGCACCTCATCCCTGAGTCCGCCTCGCGTGTTTAAGCTGCTTCAGAATAACTGCAGATCTTCTTGGTTCTTGCGGTAAAGTCACGTAGAATGGAAATAATACAATAATAAAAATCTAACTTAATACAAGTAAACCCGTAAAAACAAAGTTTTTCACTCTAAATCCTTTATATGCGTGGCGGCTAGAGTCCTCTCGTCCTCTGGCTTGAGATGACTGCAATCTATGGGTCAGATGATTGTCTGCCAGTATTAAGCAATTGGTAATTAAATATTTAATTAGTTTTCCCTAAACAGTGTAACATTTTGGAAAAATTTTTAACGAAAATTAATTGTCACACACAACGAGTCTGTGTGGAAAATGTCAGCTCGATTGGATCACGGGAAGTGGGTTAAAAAACGACCGAAAGATTTGCACGGTCCTAAGCAAGCAAGCAAGTGAACTTAATATAAAGGATTTAAAAATACAATTCTCACGACGTTTCGGCCACAACGCAGGCAGCCGTTTTATTATTTCCCTTCTACGTGACTTTACCGAAAGAACCAAGAAGATGAATCCCTGCAGTCACGAAAGCTTTAAATCAAAATTGAAATGTGTTGGATTTCTGTGAATACACACACAAATACATTGGTGTGAATGTTTAAATGTATTTATTTTTGGGTTTATTTCTTTTTAGTGGCAAGAATTTTGAAGCGTCGTCTTTCCGTCCCTACGATGTTCGCGAAATATATTGAAACACAAATTGGAACTTAGCGAAACATCGAGCTCGACGTACCGCCTCGGTGTTTGTGCGAGTTGGTAAACGCCGTTCAAATGTTTTGCATCTTTTTGTTTGCGATCCTCACGTGAAGTGCGACTGTGACCAGCAGCTGGAAGATAAAGGCAACGACTGTTCTTCTCTCGAACGAAAATATCAAGATGCGCTTGAAAATCTGTATACGGTGGTAAGTTTACCTTTTTTAAATCATTTATATTAAGTTTGCTTGCTTGCTTGCTTGCGTGCGTGCTTGCTTGCTTGCTTAGGACCGTGCAAATCTTTCGGTCGTTTTTTAACCCACTTCCCGTGATCCAATCGAGCTGACATTTTGCACACAGACTCGTTGTGCGAGACAATTAATGTTCGTGAAAATTTTTTTCCAAAATTTTACACTGTTTAGGGAAAACTAATTAAATATTTAATTACCAATTGCTTAATGGTGGCAGACAATCATCTGACCCATAGGTGGCAGCCATCTCAAGCCAGAGGACGAGAGGACTCTAGCCGCCACGCATATAAAGGATTTAGAGTGAAAAACTTTGTTTTTACGGGTTTACTTGTTATTAGTTTTTTTCGGTAAAGTCACCGTGTAGGTAAAAAAATAAAATTAATAAAATAGTAAAATAAAATAAAAATCACGACGTTTCGGAGGCAACACAAGCTTCCATCTTCAGGTGGAACCGTCACAGCCACGACAGCCGCATCAAGTGAATGAGAGATTGCAAGAGCTACCACTCCGTTTATATAATGGTTGGAGGGGGGGCAAGGGCCAAGTACAGCACACTTTTTATTCATATGGTGAGGTGAGGTTTTATCAAGATGTCGCGATGGGCATGTTATTGTTGTTGTTGTTACTGTTGTTGTTACTGTTGTTGTTGTTAGTGTTGTTGTTATTGTTGTTGCAGCTGCCGTGAATAATCCAAATTGATTCTAGATTTGAAGCTTTCGTGACTGCAAGGATTCATCTTCTTGGTTCTTTCGGTAAAGTCACCGTGTAGGTAAAAAATGAAAGTAAAATTAATAAAAAATAAAATAAAAATCACGACGTTTCGGAGGCAACACAAGCCTTCCGTCTTCATGTGGAACCGTCACAGCCACGACAGCCGTATCAAGTAGATGAGAGATTACAAGAGCTACCACTCCGTATATATAATGGTTGAAAAAAACCTCAGAATATGAATCCTTGCAGTCACGAAAACTTCAAATCTAGAATGTTCCATTGGTAAATCATGATTGAGAACCGTCACGCTCACGTTCGCGCTCACAATCCCCGACGATGTTACGCAGGCGAGCAACGTTGCCAAGTCACACGGCAAAACTGACACCTTTTGGCGTCATCTGGTCAAACCCATGTGAGACTAGGCTCTAAGGAAAGCTGTCTCGGGTGTGGACCAATGAACTTCAAGGACAGTGCATACATTATTAGAGTTGTGTTTTTTGTTTGCATTACGGCCGCAGGTATTGTGGTCAATGCAAACATGACTCCTTGTAGAAAGGTGTCAGTTTTGTTGCCAGATGGAAGGGTAAAAAAACAATCACGGCAACGTTTGTGTTTGTTGGCAACAGAACGAGGCTCAATGTGATGAAATGAGAGCAGAAATGGAAAAGTTGAAAGAAGCATTGAAGCAGAAGGTAACTTGTAACCGCAGTTGGACAAACAGACACGGAGACACACACAGGGAGACATTCGTAGAGACACACAGGCAGACACGGAGACACACACAGGGAGACATTCGTAGAGACACACAGGCAGACACGGAGACACACACTGGGAGACACTCGTAGAGACACACAGGCAGACACGGAGACACACACAGGGAGACACTCGTAGAGACACACAGGCAGACACGGAGACACACACAGGGAGACACTCGTAGAGACACACAGGCAGACACGGAGACACACACAGGGAGACACTCGTAGAGACACAGGGAGACACGGAGACACACAGGGAGACACTCGTAGAGACACAGGCAGACACGGAGACACACACAGGGAGACACTCGTAGAGACACAGGCAGACACGGAGACACACACAGGGAGACACTCGTAGAGACACACAGGCAGACACGGAGACACACACAGGGAGACACTCGTAGAGACACAGGGAGACACGGAGACACACACAGGGAGACACTCGTAGAGACACAGGCAGACACGGAGACACACACAGGCAGACACGGAGACACACACAGGGAGACACTCGCTGAGACACACAGGCAGACACGGATACAGCCAAAGAGACAGACATGGAGACGTGCTTTTCCCATGATAATGCGGGTAGCCTATAACAGGCGTGTTATTCATGTCCTCTCCCCGAAAGCCAGGAGTGGAAATTCCACATTCTTATGACAGGGGCCCCCAGACTCGGATTTCAACTCGACACTTTTCGTTGAAAATCCACGTGGTCTAGTGTCTGCGACATCTCTGCAACACACAAATGAAATTGATTATCTATTCAGACTCATGTTTCGTTGTGGAACCTCATGGGTAATAATGTCTGTGTACACAGACCTCCATTCTGTGTTTACACATATACACACACATCATTTGTTTTTGCCATCAGCCTTTTGGCATTGCAGACCAATATTATTCAGCAGTATTCATTCAAGCCGCCGAGATCTGGACCGGTTTTTACCTCCCGGGTCTTAGTCATCAGTCAGGCTCGTTCAATAAACCCCGCTGGGCTAAGCGCTGACGTTAGGTGTTTGCGATCAGCACTGCACTCCCGCAAGCCTGCAGGCCTCACTGGGGGATCTCTGTTTGTGTGTCCGTGCGATCTGCAAGACTCCACCTTGGCTCGCACCGGTGACAGTGGCCAAGTCGCCTTACAAGGGCGGCATTCTCAAGCCCTTTGCTTGCGATCAGCACGGCACTCCCGCAAGCCTGCAGGCCTCACTGGGGGATCTCTGTGTGTGTGTCCGTGCGATCTGCAAGACTCCACCTTGGCTCGCACCGGTGACAGTGGCCAAGTCGCCTTACAAGGGCGGCATTCTCAAGCCCTTTGCTTGCGATCAGCACGGCACTCCCGCAAGCCTGCAGGCCTCACTGGGGGATCTCTGTTTGTGTGTCCGTGCGATCTGCAAGACTCCACCTTGGCTCGCACCGGTGACAGTGGCCAAGTCGCCTTACAAGGGCGGCATTCTCAAGCCCTTTGCTTGCGATCAGCACGGCACTCCCGCAAGCCTGCAGGCCTCACTGGGGGATCTCTGTTTGTGTGTCCGTGTGATCTGCAAGACTCCACCTTGGCTCGCACCGGTAACAGTGGCCAAGTCGCCTTACAAGGGCGGCATTCTCAAGCCCCTCGCCACGGGGGAAGTCGTGAAGAGAAGGGGAAAGGTTTGGTATCTGTCCGACTCCGAGGGCTCAGAGGGCTCAGAGATCATGGATTTTACGGTGAGTAATGCGACTGCTTTATACATAACGTGGTTGAGCAATAGGGAGCCATCCCTTGACCGCACCCGGGCATCGATCAGCCTCCCATTGTATCTGTAGCAGATGGGAATTCTTCCGGTACAGGCATTGAAGGCTCGACGAACTACGTGGTCCAATGTTAAAGATGTGGTTCCAGACATACAGTACCCTGGCGTCTACAAACTAAGTTGCCTCTGTGGTAGCAGTTACATTGGAGAAACCAAACGACATGTCTCGGACCGCATCCGTGAACATAAATCAGATTTGAAACACGGTAGGACAAACACCTCAGCCGTGGCAGATCACTGTTACAATTCAGTGGGCTCACGTGACATTGACTTCTCCAAGACAGAGGTTCTCTGCAAGCCATCTGGCTACCATGAGAGATTCGTTCATGAGGCTATCCACATATACAAACACAGAGACAATTTCAACCGAGAAGATGCATTCTGGCTTAGCAATCATTGGAAGGACGTAATAATCCATTTCGGATCTTAACTGATTGTGTTCACGTTTACGGTGACTTTCAGAGCGCGTTCCACTCACTGGCATTGTATTCTCCGCAGGGAATGGATTCTTTGCTCTGCTGAATTGACATATTTTGTTGCTTCCTCTTAGTTGTTGTTGTTGTTGTTGGGGGGGGTTGTTGTTGTTGTTGGGGGGGGGGTTGTTGTTGTTGGGGGGGGGTTGTTGTTGTTGTGGGGGGGGTTGTTGTTGGGGGGGGGTGTTGTTGGGGGGGTTGTTGTTGTTGTGGGGGGGGTTGTTGTTGGGGGGGGGTGTTGTTGTTGTTGGGGGGGGTTGTTGTTGGGGGGGGTTGTTGTTGTTGGCGCTTCTTGAGGAGATAGTCTCGGAAGTACTTCTCAACAACAACCCCCCCCAACAACAACAACAACCCCCCCCCCCAACAACAACAACAACCCCCACCCAACAACAACAACAACCCCCCCCAACAACAACAACAACCCCCCCCCAACAACAACAACCCCCCCCAACAACAACAACAACCCCCCCCCAACAACGGTCAACGGTACAGTGTATAATAACAAATAGTTTTAAAAATGTATATGCTTAATACAATGTACAAAGTAATATATAGTATCGTAATTGTATAGTGAATATACAGCAGTGTGATATACATTAGGGTGGGTAGAATAATACATAGTGTAATATTACAATGTATAAGGTATAGGGTGGTTTATAGCAATACAGTATATAATTTAACGTTTGGGTTTGTCTATGGCAGCATATAGTACGGTGTAGACTCGTGTGATGTAAGAGAATACAGTTTAGATGGAAGCATATTATATTTTTTTACGACGTAGAATTGGAATGTATTACTTACTGTTAGTAACTCAGCTTATTGTAGAGTATATTTAGTATACTGATGGTGCTATGTAGTTTATACTTTAGTTGTTTAGGTGGTGGTTTAGTTACTGCAGCTACATACTATTAACACTCATTCCCTTCATTAATGCTACCCCTATCCCCTCCCTATGATGCTGCTAATCCTGCATCATGCACAGACACAAGTAGTACTAATCACATACCTGCGTTTCCCATATCCCCTCCCTTGGATGCTGCTAATCCTGCATAATGCACGGACATGAGTAGTACTAATCACACACCTGCATTTCCCATATCCCCTCCCTTGGATGCTGCTAATCCTGCATAATGCACGGACACAAGTAGTACTAATCACATACCTGCATTTCCCATATCCCCTCCCTTGGATGCTGCTAATCCTGCATAATGCACGGGCATAAGTAGTACTAATCACATACCTGCATTTCCCATATCCCCTCCCTTGGATGCTGCTAATCCTGCATAATGCACGGACATAAGTAGTACTAATCACATACCTGCATTTCCCATATCCCCTCCCTTGGATGCTGCTAATCCTGCATAATGCACGGGCATAAGTAGTACTAATCACATACCTGCATTTCCCATATCCCCTCCCTTGATGCTGCTAATCCTGCATAATGCACGGGCATAAGTAGTACTAATCACATACCTGCATTTCCCATATCCCCTCCCTTGATGCTGCTAGTCCTGCATAATGCACGGGCATGAGTAGTACTAATCACATACCTGCATTTCCATAAATATGCTAAATTCCTCTTGATATGCAAATTCTATTGTCAAGGCGCTCCCTTCCCCCCCCCCCCTTCCAACCCAGCTTATAAACATGCTCCAAGCTCGTGTGCTGTTTCATTCAGACGCTGTCGCCTCGACAGACCTGGTCTTCACCTGAGGACAGCTACTTGCGTTGTGGCCGAAACGTCGTGAGAATTATTTTATTATGTTTTATTATTTTATTACTTCCCTTCTACGTGACTTTACCGAAAGAACCAAGAAGATTAATTAAACTACTTTAAAGTTTAGGGATGGGAAAATGAAATAGCCTATTCCCACCGCGGGGCTTAGGGCGTGCCGGCTGGCAAATTATTTCGGCCTTAAACCCCATCGTCCGGGAGCCAAATCCCTCGCAAGCGCGCGGAGACTTTTATATATAAAGAATCAAATCATTTGTTTTTGCCATCAGCCTTTTGGCATTGCAGACCAATATTATACTGGTAGGAACGAAGTGAACCAGCCTACAATAGATTATATCGTCCGTCCGTCCGATTAGGTGTAGCAACATCGCCCCCTACTGCAAACACTTGGCAGGACCCTACAAAAACCTTTAGACTCAGTGAGGCTTTCCTGGCTAAACAAGTGTAACATTCCCTTATAATTCCCTGAGATCGTTTTTAATTAAAACATTTCAATTAAAAATTAACTCACAGCGGCCTAAAGCCTTACAGCTAGGCCTAAAGCCTAGAACTAGGTCCTCAAACTCTCCCTTCGTATCGTACCCCCGCCATTTCATTTTATTATCGCCATTCATTTGTTCGTTCCTACCAGCCCAACCCGCAGGGACCTGTTTCAGCAGTATTCATTCAAGCCGCCAAGATCTGGACCGGTTTTTAAATCCTTTATATTAAGTTCGCTTGCTTGCGTGCTTGCTTGCTTACGACCGTGCAAATCTTTTGGTCGTTTTTTAACCCACTTGCCGTGATCCAATCGAGCTGACATTTTGCACACAGACTCGTTGTGCGTGACAATTAATGTTCGTGAAATTTTTTTTCCAAAATGTTACACTTTTTAGGGAAAACAAATTAAATATTTAACTACCAATTGCTTAATACTGGCAGACAATCATCTGACCCATAGGTGGCAGCCATCTCAAGCCAGAGGACGAGAGGACTCGAGCCGCCACGCATATAAAGGATTTAGAGTGAAAAACTTTGTTTTTACGGGTTATACTTATTACCTCCTGGGTCTTAGTCACCAGTCAGGCTCGTTCAATAAACCCCGCTGGGCTAAGCGCTGACGTTAGGTGTTTGCGATCAGCACGGCACTCCCGCAAGCCTGCAGGCCTCACTGGGGGATCTCTGTTTGTGTGTCCGTGCGATCTGCAAGACTCCACCTTGGCTCGCACCGGTAACAGTGGCCAAGTCGCCTTACAAGGGCGGCATTCTCAAGCCCCTCGCCACGGGGGAAGTCGTGAAGAGAAGGCGAAAGGTCTTGCATCTGTCCGACTCCGATGGCTCGGACGTCATGGATTTCATAGTGAGTAATGCGACTGCTTTGATTGAAATTCTTTGGACGATGCAATGCTTATATGTCTGTCTGTGTTTCTGGTTCTGTGTTTAATCTCTCTCTCAAATGTAGCACTCTCAGGAAGAACGTAATCAACCAGGTAGGGTGTCGACTGTTATGTTATCCGACTCTCTGTTGTAGTAGTGTGTAGTAGTGTATAGTGTAGTGTGTAGTGTAGTGTATAGTAGTGTATAGTGTAGTGTAGTGTATAGTAGTGTATAGTGTAGTGTATAGTGTAGTGTGTAGTGTATAGTGTAGTGTATAGTATAGTGTAGTAGTGTATAGCGTAGTGTATAGTGTAGTGTAGTAGTGTATAGTGTAGTGTAGTAGTGTATAGTATAGTGTATAGTGTAGTGTATAGTGTAGTGTAGTAGTGTATAGTGTAGTGTATAGTGTAGTAGTGTATAGTGTAGTAGTGTATAGTGTAGTGTATAGTGTAGCGTAGTAGTGTATAGGTAGGGTGTCGACTGTTATGTTATCCGACTCTCTGTTGTATTACATTACATGTCTAAGTCGACTAGATTTGTGTTTCTATTTAATTTATACCTGACGCTGACGATTGCTCGTGTTGCAATCGAAACGTCGTATGCTCGTATTTAATTTATTACTTTATCTTTATACGTGACTTTACCGAGAGAACCAAAGAATGATGCAATGGGACTCTTTTTTTGTCCATTGATGTTGACGTATATATACGTTAGGTCGATGAAGAGCTGCTAGCAAGTGTGTCGGGCGTGATGACGTCCAAGCGAACTGAACAGGCGGGGGCAGCGGGCAAGATGAGATCTGGCATCGTTCTCACGACGCGTGACGAGGTGATGCTGCCAGCGGTGCAGACGGTGAGTGCACCAGACTCGCAGTCCCGTTTGATCTCCCGGCGCGGCAGGTTAAACAACGCTGCTGACGACGACGATGATGTCACGCACATTTTTCTCTTGCTCTAAGCGTGGCGGGCAGGTAGCAAGCGTACGCACGAGCAGCTCCGAGTCACGTCAACAATTCCAGATTCCAAAGAACACAGGATGAGATCTTCTCGGTTCTTTCGGTAAAGTCACGTAGAAGGGAAGTAAAAAAAAAACATAATAAAATAAAATAATTCTCACGACGTTTCGGCTACAACGCAAGCAGCCGTCTTCAGGTGAAGAATGAGACACTGCCAAGCTTGGAGCTTATATATAAGCTGGGTTGGAGGTGCAAGAAGAGCGCCTTAATAAAAGAATGTGCATATCAAGAGGAGTTTAGCATATTCATGGGAAATGCGTAGGTGGGCAGGGGGGTTTCAAAGTCATATTATGCCCGTGCATTATGCAGGATCAGCAGCACCAAGGGGGGGTGCAGGGAGTAGCAGTAACAAAGGAAAGGAATGTTAATGATATGTAGCTGCAGTTACTCAACAACCACGTAGAAAACTAAAGTATAAACTACATAAAAAACTAAAGTATAAACTGCATAGCACCATCAGTATACTTACTATACTCTACACTAAGCTGAGTTACTTACAGCAAGTTAAATCGAAACAGGATGAGATGTTACTATCCTTTGTGCAAGCACTTACAAGAGTTCACGAACAGTGAGCCTGGTGACATTTGGGGAGCGCATCGTCAGCAGTGAACCTTTGGTTCCTAGGGTGTTTCGGCCTTTCACACGATACACCCTCCCCAAAGTAATAAAAATAAAACATAATAAAATAATTATTTTATTATGTTTTATTTTTATTATTTTATTACTTCCCTTCTACGTGACGACTTTACCAAAAGAACCGAGAGGTTGTTCAATGAACCCCGCTGGGCTAAGCGCTGACGTGAGGTGTTTGCGATCAGCACGGCACTCCCGCAAGCCTGCAGGCCTCACTGGGGGATCTCTGTTTGTGTGTCCGTGCGATCTGCAAGACTCCACCTTGGCTCGCTCCGGTGACAGTGGCCAAGTCGCCTTACAAGGGCGGCATTCTCAAGCCCCTCGCCACGGGGGAAGTCGTGAAGAGAAGGCGAAAGGTCTTGCATCTGTCCGACTCGGAGGGCTCGGACGTCATGGATTTCATGGTGAGTAATGCGACTGCTTTGATTGAAATTCTTTGGACGACGCAATGGGACTCGATCCACTCTCGTAGAGACAAAGCGGCTCGCTTGAGCGCTAGCGATGATTGGCCTCATGACAGACAGACGGGCTGTGTGGATGTTCACGCTGAATAGAAGCGTTCACCTAATGTACGGTGCGCAGTGAAACCAATCACATTCCTGCATTTCCCATAAATATGCTAAATTCCTTTTGATATGCAAATTCCTTTGTCAATGCGCCCAGCTTATATATATGCTCCAAGCTCGTGTGCTGTTTCATTCAGACTCTGTCGCCTCGACGGACCTGGTTTTCACCTGAGGACGGCTGCTTGCGTTGTGGCCGAAACGTCGTGAGAATTGTTTTATTTTTATTATTTTATTACTTCCCTTCTACGTGACTTTACCGAAAGAACCAAGAAGATGAATCCCTGCACTCACGAAAGCTTTAAATCGAAATTTAAATGAAACCAGATAGTTACATAATTGCTGTAATCTAATAAAAAATAATTGCATGACTATGTCATTGTAATCTAAGGCATTCATTTGACAATAACATTCAACAAAACATTTACAATTTAAAACAAAACTCACTTCTGCAGTTTAATACGAGTCTCCGTCACCATGAATCAGAATCAAAGGGCCGGGTCACCGGATGTGGGACGGTGGAATAGACGTCTGGACGAGCTTGGAGCTTTTGTTAAATGAACGTAGGATGGATGTGCCCGAGACGGGGAGCGCTCACAAAGCGTGCCCGTGACCAAGGGATGGGTTTCTGAATTCGCAAACATTTAAAAAATGCAAATTTCGATTTGCCTGTACAATGCACACACAGGAAGCCTTTTGGCTTATTCCGTATTCCGGCAAAGGCCGAATAAACGTTTAAAATTGCAGGATCTTTGCGTGATTTTCTGTCCATTGATGTTGATGTTATATACGTTAGGTCGATGAAGAGCTGCTAGCAAGTGTGTCGGGCGTGATGACGTCCAAGCGAACTGAACAGGCGGGGGCAGCGGGCAAGATGAGATCTGGCATCGTTCTCCCGACGCGTGACGAGGTGAAGCTGCCAGCGGTGCAGACGGTGAGTGCACCAGACTCGCAGTCCCGTTTGATCTCCCGGCGCGGCAGGTTAAACAACAGTGATGATGATGATGATCTTCTTGGTTCTTTCGGTAAAGTCATCACGTAGAAGGGAAGTAATAAAATAATAAAAATAAAACTTCATAAAATAATATAATAAAATAATATAATAAAATAATATAATAAATAATATAATAAAATAATATAATAATATAATATAATAAAATAATACAATAAAATAATATAATAAATAATAATATAATATAATAATATAATAAAATAATATAATAAAATAATATAATAAAATAATATAATAAAATAATATAATAATATAATATAATAAATAATATGATAAAATAATATAATAAAATAATATAATAAAATAATATAATAAAACAATATAATATAATAATATAATATAATATAATAATATATAATAAATAATATAATAAAATAATATAATAAAATAATATAATAATATAATATAATAAAATAATATAATAAAATAATATAATAAAATAATATAAATAATATAATAATATAATATAATAAATAATATAATAAAATAATATAATAAAATAATATAATAATATAATATAATAAAATAATATAATAAAATAATATAATAAAATAAATAATAAATAATATAATAAAATAATACAAATAAAACATAATAAAATAATTCTCACGACGTTTCGGCCACAACGCAAGCAGCCGTCCTCAGGTGAAGAATGAGACACTGCCAAGCTTGGAGCTTATATAAAAGCTGGGTTGGAGGTTGAAGAAGAAGAGCGCCTTGACAAAAGAATGTGCGTACCGAAAGAAACACAGAAGATGAATGCACATTCTTTTGTTAAATCGACGATGACGATGATGTCACGCACATTTTTCTCTCGCTCCAAAATATAATTGTTGCTATATAGTCTTAGGTTTTTTCGGTAAAGTCACCGTGTAGGTAAAAAATTTAAATTAATAAAAATAAAAATCACGACGTTTCGGAGGCAACACAAGCTTCCGTCTTCAGGTGGAACCGTCACAGCCACGGCAGCTGTATCAAGCAAATGAGAGATTGCAAGAGCTACCACACTTTTTATTAAACCAACCATCATATATACGGAGTGGTAGCTCTTGTAATCTCTCATTTACTTGATACGGCTGCCGTGGCTGTGACGGTTCCACCTGAAGACGGAAGCTTGTGTTGCCTCCGAAACGTCGTGATTTTTATTTTATTTTAATTTTATTAACTTTAATGTTTTACCTACACGGTGACTTTACCGAAAAACCCCAAGAATATGAATCCTTGCAGCAGCCACGAAAGCTTCAAATCTAGAATCATTGTTGCTCTTCAACAATCTTTCACGTGGCGAGCCGCTTCGTAGAGCTGCTCGCGTTTGTGGCCGGGACGTTTCTGTAAAAGAAGCTGATGGTTTAGTGAGCCTTACCTGCTAAGATAAAAATCTATTTCAAGGACAGTGCACATACATTATCAGAGTTGTGTTTTTGTTTGCATTATGACTGCAGGTATTGTGGTCTATGTAAACATGACTGTTTATAAATGAGGTTCCAATGGTGTGAATGCTTCACCCCGAGCTCTCATACTCGGATGGTGCATTGTCTTTGAGTTGTACGCCTTTTGGCGTCATCTGGTCCAACACCATGTGAGACTGGGCTCTAAGGAAAGCTGTCTCGGGTGTGGACCAATCAACTTCAAGGACAGTATATACATTATCAGAGTTATGTTTTTGTTTGTATTATGACTGCAGGTATTGTGGTCTATGCAAACATGACTCCTTGTAAAAAAGGTTTCAGTTTTGTTGCCAGATAGAAGGGTAAAAAAACAATTATGTCTACGATGTGTTCATTTGTCACAGGCGATTGAGATCTCCGCGTTGACAGGAGAGGTCGAACAAGAGATGATGGCCTCTGCATCGCCTTCGATCAAGCTTCCTGCAAAACAGCGATACTCACCCTTTGACTGGTTTGACAGTCCAGATGTCGACACCACTTCTGAATCTGAGGATTAAAAAAGAATCGGAGTTTTTCTTGAGCGACGTTGTTTTACGCTCCAATGTTCTTGGTGAAATGAGTAGCCAGGGTGGAGACTTTTAGCCACCGCAGTTCAAATGTTTTGGGTGTTCAGTTTGAAGTCGCTGCTTTTCAACAAAAACAACAACACTGGTTAACAAAAAAACAACATGTTTTTCTGGCCTGGACTTTTGCAGCTGTTCTAGACTAATTTCAGGGTGCTGATTCCAAATCTGATCTCAGATTTGCTCTATCACATCTCATTTTTAAATCCTTTATATTAAGTTCGCTTGCTTGCTTGCTTACGACTGTGCAAATCTTTCGGTCGTTTTTTAACCCACTTCCCGTGATCCAATCGAGCTGACATTTTGCACACAGACTCGTTGTGCTTGACAATTAATGTTCGTGAAAAAAAAATCCAAAATTTTACACTGTTTAGGGAAAACAAATACAATATTTAATTACCAATTGCTTAATACTGGCAGACAATCATCTGACCCATAGGTGGCAGCCATCTCAAGCCAGAGGACGAGAGGACTCTAGCCGCCACGCATATAAAGGATTTATAGTGAAAAACTTTGTTTTTACGGGTTATACTTGTTATGCTATCGGCATACCCCATTTTCATTAATTTTACCCGAAATTAACTCTGTCACTTATGATTGCAAGTTGTTGCGAGTCAGTGACTGCTTTAGTGTTAAAAGACGGTGCTGTGTTTTTAGGATAGTGTGTTTATAATATCATTTTATGTAGATATCCACATCTATTTAATATTTTTCTTCCGCAGTTTTTATTGAAAATGCAATATTTGATATGTCAAAAACCTGACGCGATAGACAAAAACTGATGCCAGATTTGTAATCGGCACCCCACAAAATTACCTTAAAGCCGTTGTAATACCTCATGCCAGACAAAGTGTGTGGACCAGTGTAAGTTTGGAGGTTGGCCACATATTTGAAACCACAGTTGGGGTTGACAGCAGCATGATGATTGGGGGGGGTGGAGGTGTTTTCACATTTGTGTATTGTCAGGGGGGGGAGCGCATGTTAGGAAGCCGCGCTAAAGGCCCATCGGGGGCTGCCAGAGCCTTGCAATGAAGAATGAACTGTGCTGAGGTGAAGGTTTGAAGGCTGTGACATTCAAGCGGTGAAAAAACCCAACCTGGGTCATTCCGAGTTGGCAAAACGTGGTTCGCGTCAGCGGCAATTTCGATTGAATGGAAATAATAAAATTATAAAAATTAAACATAATAAAATTTCGATTTAAAGCTTTCGTGACTGCAGGGATTCATCTTCTTGGTTCTTTCGGTAAAGTCACGTAGAAGGGAAATAATAAAATAATAAAAATAAAACATAATGAATAAAATAATCAAAATAAAACATAATAAAATATTATGTTTTATTTTTATTATTTTAAGTAATAAAATAATAAAATAAGTAATAAAATAATAAAAATAAAACAATAATATTTTATTATGTTTTATTTTTATTATTTTATCACGTAGAAGGGAAGTAAAATAATCAAAATAAAACATAATAAAATATTTTATGTTTTATTTTTATTATTTTAAGTAATAAGGGAAGTAATAAAATAATAAAAATAAAACATAATAATATTTTATTATGTTTTATTTTCATTATTTTAAGTAATAAGGGAAATAATAAAATAATAGAAATAGAACTATCAAATTCTCACGACGTTTCTGTTGCAACACAAGCAATCATGATCACACCTGATGATCACACCTGATGATCACACCTGATGATCACACCTGATGATCACACCTGATGATCACACCTGATGATCACACCTGATGATCACACCTGATGATCACACCTGATGATCACACCTGATGATCACACCTGATGATGGTGGTGATTGCTTGTGTTGAAATTGAAACATCGTGAGAATTTCACTGTTTTATTTTTATTATTTTATTATTTCCCTTCTACGTGATTTTCCCGAAAGAACCAAGAATAATCTTCTTGGTTCTTTCGGTAAAATCACGTAGAAGGGAAGTAATAAAATAATAAAACATAATAAAATAATTCTCACGACGTTTCGGCCACAACGCAAGCAGCCGTCCTCAGGTGAAGACCAGGTCTGTGGCCGAAACGTCGTGAGAATTATGTTTTATTTTTATTATTTTATTACTTCCCTTCTACGTGACTTTCCCGAAAGAACCAAGAAGATGAATCCCTGCAGTCACGAAAGCTTTACATCGAAATTTAACCAAGAATAAGATTAGGAGCAGTATAACACAACTGGCAGGCCGTGCACTTTCGTGGTAAATTGCATTGTGATTGTCAAGTGAACGTTCATTGTTTCTGTTCGTTGCGTGTACGCTCAAAATTAAAGCGCTTCAAATCTCAAGTAATTTCGTGCTTTTTTTCGTATTCAACGTAAGGAAATAGATTCGGAAAGGTTTGCGTTTGCGAAACCCGTCGCTATTGCAAACTCAGCCCCTTCACTCTTTCGCAGAGGTCGCAAACGGGTTTTGATTCCTTACCCGTACCCGGCCGTACCCGTACCCAGCTGCACCAGGGTCGCAAACGGGTACCCGTACCCGGCCGTACCCGTACCCTACCCAGCCGGGTACGGGTAGGGTACGGGTATCGGGTACCCGATTGCGACCTCTGGGATGAAGCCACGTTGCAGGCGCGGGTGGGTTGATTCTAGGAACTTGAATTGTGAGAAGAGACAAGACGTTGGGAAATGAGTGACAAACGGCGACTCACCAGTGACTCACGGCCTACCCGTACCCTACCCGAATGAGTGACAAACGGTGACTCGCCAGTGACTCACGGCCTACCCGTACCCGTACCCTACCCGAAATGAGTGACAAACGGTGACTCACCGGTGACTCACGGCCTACCCGTACCCGTACCCTACCCGAAATGAGTGACAAACGGTGACTCACCGGTGACTCACGGCCTACCCGTACCCTACCCGAAATGAGTGACAAACGGTGACTCACCAGTGACTCACGGCCTACCCGTACCCTACCCGAAATGAGTGACAAACGGTGACTCACTGGTGACTCACGGCCTACCCGTACCCTACCCGAAATGAGTGACAAACGGTGACTCACCAGTGACTCACGGCCTACCCGTACCCTACCCGAAATGAGTGACAAACGGTGACTCACTGGTGACTCACGGCCTACCCGTACCCTACCCGAAATGAGTGACAAACGGTGACTCACCAGTGACTCACGGCCTACCCGTACCCTACCCGAAATGAGTGACAAACGGTGACTCACTGGTGACTCACGGCCTACCCGTACCCTACCCGAAATGAGTGACAAACGGTGACTCACCAGTGACTCACGGCCTACCCGTACCCTACCCGAAATGAGTGACAAACGGTGACTCACCAGTGACTCACGGCCTACCCGTACCCGTACCCGGCCGCACCAGGGTCGCAAACGGCTACCCGTACCCGGCTGGGTACGGGTAGCCGGCTATCGGGTAGGGTACGGGTATCGGGTACCCGGTTGCGACCTCTGCCTGGAAGCTGACTCCCCACGAAGAGCAGTGGACCACCGGGTCGTCGTGTCCTTCACGTCCAGAGCACGCGAGGCCGACACGAGCGGACGCACGTCCCGGCTCGCCGCGCACAGCGCACACTCGGCCCTGCGGTACGGAGAGGAGACAAACTCACGCGGCGAGATGGAAGCATATTATATTTTTTACGACGTAGAATTGTAATGTATTACTTACTGTTAGTAACTCAGCTTATTGTAGAGTATAGTTAGTATACTGATGATACTATGTAGTTTATACTTTAGTTGTTTACGTGCTGGTTTTAGTTACTGCAGCTACATACTATTAACACTCCTTCCCTTCATTAATGCTACCCCTATCCCCTCCCTTGGATGCTGCTAATCCTGCATAATGCACGGGCAAAGTAGTACTAATCACATACCTGCATTTCCCAAAGCGAATCCACGGTTGCGGCAGCAATGCGGGAGGTGTGCCCACCGGCACCTGCGGACAATGCAACCAGGTCCTGTCCCCCCTCCCCCGGCGACCAGTCGCACAGGGAAACACGGGCAACTTGCTTCAGGTAATTTTTTACGAAACGTTTGAAAATTCCCGCCAATTCGGCGGGGGTCAGGAAGCCTTGGGGTGACTCCGCGCGTGAAAGTATAATGAGTGAATGTTGTGAGAATAAAGAAAGTAACCCTCGTTGATCGTTGCCACGTCGCTTATCCCGATAAAGTTGAGGTCAATGTCCCTCACGACAACCTAACGCGCCTGATTTTAACAAAAAAATCTGTAACAAGTATAACCCGCAAAAACAAAGTTTTTCACTCTAAATCCTTTATATGCGTGGCGGCTAGAGTCCTCTCGTCCTCTGGCTTGAGATGGCTGCCACCTATGGGTCAGATGATTGTCTGCCACCATTAAGCAATTGGTAATTAAATATAATATTTATGTCCTAAAAAGTGTAAAATTTTTGAAACATTTTTTCACGAACATTAATTGTCACGCGCAACGAGTCTGTGTGCAAAATGTCAGCTCGATAGGATCACGGGAAGTGGGTTAAAAAACGACCGAAAGATTTGCACGGTCGTAAGCAAGCAAGCAAGCACGCAAGCAAGCATGCGAACTTAATATAAATGTTTTAAAAATATGTAAGCTTATACTTTACTAGCTCGGTTTGCCCATCCTAGGATGGAAGCTGTAATATTTACGAAAAAAATTAAGCCGATAATAGATTTAATAGCAGTGAATCTTGAAAAAGTGAGTGGGTGGGTGAGTGAGTGGGTGGTGAGTGGGTGGGTGGGTGAGTGAGTGAGTGGGTGAGTGGTTGGGTGAGTGAGTGGGTGGTGAGTAGGTGGGTGAGTGGGTGGGTGGGTGGGTGAGTGGGTGGGTGGTGAGTGGGTGGGTGAGTGAGTGAGTGAGTGGGTGAGTGGGTGAGTGAGTGAGTGGGTGAGTGAGTGAGTGGGTGAGTGAGTGGGTGGTGAGTAGGTGAGTAGGTGGGTGAGTGGGTGGGTGGGTGAGTGGGTGAGTGGGTGGGTGAGTAAGTGAGTGAGTGGGTGGGTGAGTGAGTGGGTGAGTGAGTGAGTGGGTGGGTGAGTGAGTGAGTGGGTGGGTGAGTGGGTGGGTGGGTGATTGAGTGGGGGAGTGGGTGAGTCAGTGAGTGGGTGAGTGAGTGAGTGAGTGGGTGGGTGAGTAGGTGGGTGAGTGGGTGGGTGGGTGAGTGAGTGGGTGGGTGAGTAAGTGAGTGAGTGGGTGGGTGAGTGGGTGAGTGAGGTGGTGGGTGGGTGGGTGGGTGGGTGAGTGGGTGGGTGGGTGGGTGAGTGAGTGGGTGGTGAGTGGGTGGGTGAGTGGGTGGGTGAGTGAGTGAGTGAGTGGGTGGGTGGGTGGGTGAGTAGGTGGGTGGGTGGGTGGGTGAGTGAGTGGGTGGTGAGTGGGTGGGTGAGTGGGTGGGTGGGTGGGTGAGTGAGTGAGTGGGTGAGTGGGTGAGTGAGTGAGTGAGTGGGTGGGTGAGTGAGTGGGTGGTGAGTAGGTGGGTGAGTGGGTGGGTGAGTGAGTAGGTGGGTGAGTGGGTGGGTGAGTAAGTGAGTGGGTGGGTGGGTGGGTGAGTGAGTGAGTGGGTGGGTGGGTGGGTGAGTGAGTGGGTGGGTGGGGTGAGTGGGTGGGTTGGTGAGTGAGTGGGTGGTGAGTGGGTGGGTGAGTGGGTGGGTGGGTGGGTGAGTGAGTGGGTGGGTGGGTGGGTAGGTGAGTGAGTGAGTGGGTGGGTGGGTGAGTGGGTGGGTGAGAGGGTGAGTGAGTGGGTGAGTGAGTGAGTGGGTGGTGAGTGGGTGGGTGGGTGGGTGGGTGGGTGGGTGAGTGGGTGGGTGGGTGGTGAGTGAGTGAGTGGGTGGGTGAGTGGGTGGGTGAGTGGGTGGGTGAGTAGGTGGGTGAGTGGGTGGGTGGTGAGTGAGTGGGTGGGTGAGTAGGTGGGTGAGTGAGTGAGTGGGTGAGTGAGTGGGTGGTGAGTGGGTGAGTGGGTGGCTGAGTAGGTGGGTGAGTGGGTGAGTAAGTGAGTGAGTGGGTGGTGAGTGGGTGGGTGAGTGGGTGGGTGGGTGAGTGGGTGGGTGGGTGGGTGGTGAGTGGGTGGGTGGGTGGGTGAGTGAGTGGGTGGTGAGTGGGTGGGTGAGTGGGTGGGTGGGTGGTGAGTGGGTGAGTGAGTGAGTGGGTGGGTGGTGAGTGGGTGGGTGAGTGGGTGGGTGGGTGGGTGAGTGGGTGGGTGGGTGAGTGAGTGAGTGGGTGAGTGAGTGGGTGAGTGGGTGGGTGAGTGGGTTGGTGAGTGGGTGGGTGAGTGGGTGG